TACCCTCTTCCTTTCACTGACAAATGCCATTGTCAGATTTTTCCAATTGGCACACACATCGCCTAGTGTACTCAACCAAGAAATTCCTAACACCACATCTACCCCTCCTAAATCAAATGGAAAAAAGTCATGCCTCAATTCAATTCCTTGGATCCTCAGATTCACGCCCCTGCAAATACCTTATCCTCTGACCATAAAGCCATTCCCTACCATAACCCCAAACGATTTCCCTCTCTCAACTGCCAGACCCAATTTTCGCACAAAATCATGCGAAATAAAATTATGGGAAGCCCCACTATCAACCAAAACAATCACCTCTCCACTCCAATCAACCCCTTGAGTTTTAGAGTTTTATCTGTGGTCACCCCTACAATTGAATTCATAGATAAAGCCAAAGGTTTACCTTTGTCGGAAGCTTCCGAGATGGGTTCAAGACTGACTTCTTCTTTTTCCAGTTCGTCGTCGTCGGTCACTAACAAGATCTGGAGCGACTTGCTCTTGCATCTATGGTTTGGCCCAAATTTCTCATTGCATTGGAAACAAAGGCCTCTGTCTCGCTTGTGTTATAATTCGGCGTCGGTCATTCGTCGAAAATTTTCCCCGCAAAAGTTTGGCGTCATGGATTCCACTGAGCGATCTTTTCTGTCGTGAAATCAATTTGGGGAAAAATTCGGACCTAACTCTGGATTTTGCAGTGGATTTACCCATGTGTTTGGGCACACGGGTTCTGGGCTTGGGGTGACTCGGGTATAAGAGTCCACTCTATTATTTTGGGCCTTAGCAAACCTAGATCTATTCTTTTCTAGAACCCAGTTTTTTTCCTCCACGCGATGGGCTTGATCCATCAGTGCAAAAAGAGAAATGGGCTGAGTTAAACATAATTCAGCTCTTATTTCCTCCCTTAGCCCATTCGTAAAGACCCCCATTAGGAGGTCTTCTCCTACCTCGCGTAAGGGAGCCGCATGAGCTTCAAAGCTCTCCCTGTATTCTGTTACTGTACCAGTCTGCTTCAGCGCTACCAGAGCTTCATACGCTGATCCCTTGAACAACAGCCTGAATCTCTCAACCACGGCGACCTTAAAACCTTTCCAAGAACTGATTGGTGCCCTAGACTCCACCCACTGATACCAGTTCAGGGCATGACCCTCCATACACACGACGACCGCTTCCACCTTTTCTTTATCTTCATAATGGTTCATCGAGAAATATCGGTCAACTCTGAATGTCCAACCATAAGGATCTTCCCCGTTGAATGTCGATAGCTCCAACTTCTTACCCTTCCTCTCATCCTTCGAATTCTCTATTTCCTTAGTCCTATCACCACCCGCTGTCGCCGCTGTTGGAGTGCTCAGAGTGTGATGTTTTTCCCTTATGGCGTCTCAGACTCGCATCCCTTTCTTCCTTCAACCTCATCATTGCGCAAGCTCAAGCAGGTAACCTTTGTGCTCCCTAGCTCTTCCTTCACATTCCCCATTTCTTCTCTACGTTCCCCATCTGCTTTTCCAATCCTTCTACTCTGTTTTCCATCTTCGATTTACCATCACATGTCAAGTTCTATACCAATTTGATGAGCACCCTGCAACAATCACCACAAAACAGTACAAACAACCCAAAATAGCACAGAAGAGAGTTTCACCAAATCAATGGATAAGCGAGACTGTATTTTTATGTAATGAAATGAGAAAAGTAGCTACACAGTAGGCTCAAAACAGATAGTTCCTAACAGTTCGAGGAGCTGGGGGCCTCCTTTAGTGACCCTATACAAATATCCTGACCTTCCCAAAAGTTGACCCACTTTATACACTACTTCCTTAACTAAGATATTCCTTCCACTAAACAACTTGATTCCCACAAACACGTGAACAATAATAACCAACTCACACACATCATGCAACTCACACTCCCAACGTCACTACCCCAAATGCCCCTTATGCCCTTTGTATTGATAGACATTTTTAATGGGAGTTCTATAGATATTTAGCGACATCATAAAACTGAGAAGTAGTAATGCTATGTTAATGATAGCACACCCTTGAGGTCTGACTGAATCACAGGTGATGATAAATTTACCAAATAGGACTTCTCCTTTAAGGAGCGTTCCACTTATATAAGAAAAAAATATGTTACTGGATGAAAATTAGCAAGAGAATGACATGTGCCATGACATTTCTGTATTACCATTTTGATGAACTATTTCGACTAATTAAAGGTCACGGGCGGCCAAGTATATTTCCCCAAACCTTTAATTGTCTGTGCTACAAATAAACCTCAGGGGGTGCCCTAGTTATAACCCTAATAACATTCATAGTATTGACAAAAGATCCCCAATAATTCTTATAAACCCCACAATATCATATTGATCAAAAGATGACCTATGGAACTCCAATATCTACTAACATTACCAGTTAATTGGAAAATAATGGGGAAGTCGAATAGACATAGGCCGCCAATAACCCCAAATGACTTCAGAATTTTTTGAATGACAGGGACACGAATAACCAGGAAAATTTGTGCAAATAATTTAATACGTTTGAGTTGACACCATCTTCAACCTAGCAGCTTAAACAAATGGATTACACCAACCGCAACATTTGGCCCTCACTTATTTTATATTTCCTGATGTAAGATTTACTCGCTCACAAATGTAACCAACAATATTACACCTGCCTTCCATCACTTTAAGAGTTATTTCCATCAAAGACAAGTTGCTATTTGGGAACTTAAATACAAAACCGTTTCAAAGAACTCAAATCAATAAATATTGTGACCATCCAGCCAAAAAAAAAAAAAGGAAGTGTGACATTGCAAACAGTGAGACTGACTGTCCCATCATCCACCAATACCTGACTTCCCAGATTTTTTTTCTATTCCATTGAAAGAAGAGCAAAAGTATTACTATTCTTTTCATAAAGGAGATAAGATGATAACCTGAGAATTCTACTTGAATATTTTTGATCTAGAATGAAATTACTACAGTAGACTTTCTAACAATAACAAATAAGGTTGAACTTGAACTTACAGTCACAAAAACCATGTCTGCACCATTAATGCCTCCTCAATTGCAGCTTTGCTCTCATTGGCAGCATTCATGCCTACATCTGGGTTCCCACCACGCCAAGACCCCCAGTTAGCTCCTCCCCAATTTGCAAACGGTTTTCAGGGATTACAGGTGACATCTACAGGGCCTGAACATCAGTGTTTACTATCCAAAATTCCACGCCTTCATTGAACTCTTAATCATTCTATTAACAGCATTAGACCCACCACCCCCAACACCAATAACTTTGATCTTTGCTTCATTACTACAGTTACCGGAATAAAGGATTCTTTTAAGCTCTCTGTGACACTTCCAACAGATCCCTCCTTCCTGGACCAGAGACTTGGCATTTTCATCAACTCTGAGCATTGAAACTTCAGGGTGTAGATCAAAAAAGGGTCGTTCTGCGGTTAGTGTTAGTTTGTGAGAGTTGACAGAACACTTAAGATTCCTTTGCAAGCACTCCGCAAACCAGCTTTGTTGTCAAACTCTTAAAAGAATTAAGTCCATAAACTTGAGTCCATCTTAATGAGGGCAGCATTCCCACTGAAATCGAGCATCAGATGGAGCAAAACAAAGAGATGAACAACTGGCCATATTAAAGGGAAAATCGAATCTTGAACTTTACAATAATTCAATAAGAGTGGAGTGATTTAGCAAGCAGGTTGCAATGCATCATTCTTGCTGTACCTGGTCATGAGAAACCAAAAACAATCAAAGATTACACAAAGAATTCATCTTGCATTGTCAAAGACAATTAACGATAGTTCAGAAAGAGCAAAATCAACAAAAAATTATAACAAAAAAAAAATGGAATAATCAATTTCGGATACAATGGCTAGTCTAAAATTTTCCAATATTTTAAAAATATTTTAGCAGAAACTTGAACAGTATAGATAAGAGCAATTTAAAGAAGAAAAGGAGAGATATTAATGAACACATGTAACAATCATGTGGAATTATACGCATTGAATGAGGACAAAATAAGAAAAAGAAGACAACGACATGTGAGAACAAGCGAAACCGTAAAACCTTATGTAGATCCACAAACCCAATGAACCAAAATCATTGAAAAAAAGAAAAAAGAGAAAATTAAAGAAAATAGTATCTGGGCATGAAAGCAAAGTACCTTAAGAATCCAACGAAACAGACAGCACAGCTGACGGAAACAGAATGAGTTATAGTAGTGAAAGTAAAGTTGAAAAAGTGAAGTTTGTTAGAGTGTAGGAAGAAGTAAAATAAGGGAAGTGTGTTAAAGATTTTGAAAGGTAGGGAACAAAAAGTCGGTGAAGAATGAATGTAAGTCTCAATCTCAACCGAAAATTTTGAGAAAATCTTATTCTAAAGGGAACTGCCTTAACTGGACTAACTAACTTGCTGAAGCAGTCTAGGGAGCTATGAACACTCTATAGACGCAGTGTTTTACTAAAATTCTGTAATTTACGGAAATTGTATGTGTATATATATATATATATATATATATATATATATAATCTCAAAAAAACTAGGGAAAAAAATTGAAAAGAAATAGTGATAATTATTTATCTTTTAGAAATTCGTTTTTTTCTCAACAAAATCTTATCAGCGTAGAAAGACTCAAAACTTTCTTTATTTTAAATCCCTCCAACTTCTAATTGAATTTTTAAGTTACTTTATCTTATTTTCCGTTTCGAAATATCACAATATTATATAATTAAATATCCATATCAACCAGTAATGTATGATACATTTTCTTTATAGGAAGTTTGAGAATGATAATAATAATAACAAAAAAAAAAATTGTAAACAAAAATGGCAAAAAAAAAAATTATTGAAATACACTGCCTGCTGGAATATTGGCGTAAAAAAAAAAATGATTAGCTGATCCTGATTTATAACAAACCCAGTTGGATTTTGGTTTTGAATTCTTGATTGAACCTTCCCAAAAAAAAAACACAAAATAAGCAAAAAAACAAAGCAGAAATTCTCAAGTCTCTCTGCAAGACATTATAACAGATGCATATTAGTAAAGCACAATTGTATGTACATTTTTGTTTCATGCTTTTACACTGTTCTAAATTGGACTCATCCTATTAGAAAAATCAAAACTCAGTGTGTTTGTACTTTGAAAGCGCATATCAGAATGCTGCATTGTTGTTAAAAGACAGACAGTGAATCAGTAACAGAAAATATTTATCTTATGAAGATGAAAGCGCATAATGATTTGTGTATTCATGTCTATTTCATCAATGACTGGGCAAATTCGAAGATGTTTCTCCATTGATTCCTCCCTGTCCCCCTTTTTGTATTGTTGTTGGAGAATGGGACAAAATGAACCAAAGATGGACAGTGACAATGAAATGCATAGCATCCTCATTCACTCTTAACAGCATGGTAAATTCGGCGAACAAACATCAAGGAAGCTCGAAAACTGATTATTCCGAAAATAAAAAAGAAACCGTAACACATGACAGCATTATAGCCAAGAAAGAAAACTAACTGCATAAAACCACTCATATTTGATCTGATATAGAAGTAGATGCCATATGCAAACATGAAAATGGCAGTCGATCCCCCACAAAATATAGATCTGCTTCAAAGAGACAAAAGAAACTAGTTAATTTGCAGCAATAGTTCAAAAACAGAAAGAGAATCCACTTCATTTCATCAACGGGAATACTCTGCACCAAAATGTAAAGACTTCAATAACAGATGACAGTGAAAAATCATTATATGACACAACAATCATACAAAATACTAGTGTACCAGTCATTTATAAACATCTACTATATATTGTTTACAATCAACTAACGAGCGCTTCATTAAAAATTTTGGATGGCTAATGATTCTACAACCCGAGTTGGAGTGGATAAAGATAGTCCTTTACAATACCCAGTAGCTTCTTATTCATAGGCTAATTAAGTGCATTCCATTTATACGATTATAGTCATGACCTCAAACATTTAACACAAGCCTAAAGAAATTGTTAAAACATTTTTATCTAATATCTACCTGTATGCATAGTGTAAAGTGTAAACAAATAAAACAACTTACTAAATATTGATCCTGCCCTAAGGAATGTATAAGAAATCATATTTTTACTTTGCATTTCATCTGAAGGGGATGACATTTTGTTCCTTAAAAAAGTAAGCCTCAATTCAATCAAAGAATTCCGCAATCAATTAGGTCAATACATCCTCATAGCATAAAAGGTTCAAGATCACCACAAAGAAGTAACACGTGCAGGTCAGCATCAATAATATACAAGCATTCAAAAGAAAGTACAAGCCTAGGTGTGCAAGAGAACACATATATACACTATGCAAGAGTACATACCTCCACCACCATTCGTGGTTCTCCAGGGAGAGTTGAATGTATGTCAAACCAACACTCAACATAACAGTAAGCATTATGAGGACAACGAACATTACAAACAAAATGCCGGGAAGAGTATATATTTTGTAGCCCCACAAGCTTGCATACAAGTGGTGTAACTCAAGGGCAATTGCACTAAAAGATAAGAGACCCACAAGAAACATTTGACAAGGTGTCTTCTGATACCAAGTCAGCGGTGGGATTTCTCTGGGGACTCTCTTTGTGGCACATGGTGCTTGAAATTCAGACCTAAAACGGTATCCAATTATCCCTCCCAAGGCAAGCAGTGGGACAGCGAGAAAGGTATAGATGAGAATGATCACTATAATGGTGCCAAATGGAAGTGCAGCCGTGGCCCCATAAGATGCAGCAACTGTGTTAAGAACGAAAACGGTCACAGAAACTGGACCCACATATAGAATCCCAGACAGTAGAACACTCCTTTCCTGGAAATTTAAGTGGCTTGCATCACTGACTAATGGTGAAAAGTTAAATTTAACATGATCACAAATAAAATAATTAAAAATGACAATAAATGATTACCCATCCAGTATTTGAAAACTGACTATGGAAAGAAGTAGCAGTATACCCAGCAACCACAGATGTCAGAGTATATAGAAGGATAAGAGAAGTAAACAGCAGCCCACGATTGTACGGATAGAGGACACCAAGAAATGCTAATACAAATAAGAAAAAAACCCTACAAAAAAGAAATGCAAATATTTGAAAAATAAATCAAAATTGATACTTGTAAAGGTCAAACAATAAAGAAACCTGTAAGTCATATTTTGAAAGCTGGATCAGATAGGTAGAGAAGCACCAAAAAGATGGACTGGAAAAGGATATATAGAGCTATTAAAACGGTACAAAAGTAAATAAGAGAATAATGATTTGAAGAAACTTACATGGTCAGAAGCTGGTTACCTACACCCAAGACAGCAGAGAATAAGGACATGTTTCGAGGAAATCTGAACACATCACCGTGAATATATTTCCAACCAACCTCCTTATCTTCTTCTTCATCTCCATCAGAACATCTACAATATAAAGGAAGAACATTAGGAAAGAAAACATGAAACTATGGACTATATGGTTCATTGGATTAAAATCAATAACAACAAATATTACAGTAAATTACTTCATCAGATCATTCTTGAGGTGCCGCATGAAAAGCAAAACAAGCAATCCCATCAAGAGCACAATGATGACAACTGAATTGATAAATGAGAACCAATGAATCTGGTGGTGGACTGGGAGTAATGAAGCTCTTGAATATTTGTCCATTCTTGTCTCAAACTGATCTTCTGTTTCATTCCAGGAGACTGAATAAGTGAATTTAACATTGATGTCAACATCTTCTGTTATATCCACAATATGATTTGGGTCACTAAAAGCACATATTTCTATGATCTGGTTGCCATTGTAAAGAGCATCAAACTGCACATGTGTGAATAGAAAAAACTTGCTCCTCTTTTCACTAAGTGACCTGCTGTCTTCTTCGATTTTACCAACATAACCCCACAATGGAAGACCATCATAGTACATCTGGAAGTAAAAGTCATTAAAAACAGCATTTCTGAGCTTCGCAACTTCATATCCATTAAGCTTCTTTGAGCAAAGAATAGTTCCTGTTTTTTGTTCCATGAAGTTCAACTCATATAAAGCAATAGCCAGACGGTCACCATTAAGGACTTCCCCAAAAGATTCCTTCTTCCAGATTATAGAATCTGCAAGTCACACTGGTGAGAACTCAATTACTCCAGCTCTAAATTTCTTAGTGACAGTAGCAGCAAAACATACACATGTATATCAAACCAAACTTTCAGATAAAACACATTTTACAAACTATCTATAAAAATCCACATCTTGAAAAAGGATACCAAGTAAATACATATCTCACTGTTCACAAATTGCCCTCTGAGTTCTTGAGATAAACAAACCGTTAAGTTACCACTTGACTGAAAAGTCTAAGCCACATTCATAATTACATTTGGAACCATAAACAAACAACAAAAATATATACCAAATTTGAATGAAAGACAACTTGGTCAACTTGATAGTATTAAACTCTAACTAACAGCAAGAACTTGAACATAATACAATGTTCAGAGAACTAAATAGTTATAATTAAATTTCACCCGGCATAAATTGAAATGCAGCTAAAGTTATTATAATAACAAAATTGAAATACAATCAAATTGCTACTATGTTACCTAAAGCTAACCTGGACGGCAGAATGGCAAGTCATAATACTGATAGGTCTCACTGCAATAAAATAACAATGAACAAATTAACAACGGAAGCAAACAAGGTTTCCAAATCATAAATAGTTAACAATTAAATTAACCTTTGGCTACTCAAAAGCAAAATGTTATTAAATTGCAGAAATTCATTTGATTTCGTATTCTAAACAAAGAATTAATCCTGATTGAGTGAATGATGTGAAGAAGATAAACCTGGGGTTGTTAACGGGCCCCACTTTGTTGACGAATAAGGGGACGAGATCCCCTGGTTCGTAACGATGATTGTACGGTGAGGATGAAGCGGATCGAGCAAAGAAAAGGAAGATTGTGAAGAGAAAGAACAAAGAAGTGATGTTGACTTCCATTTCAGCCATTGATGCAGGGTTTCTGAGCTTTCGAAGTCTCTACAAACTCAATTGAAGATGCGCCATTTTCATGTCTCCTGTCATCTCTGATCCGACTAATCATCCTGAACGCGAAGTAATAAAGTGATTAGGTTTGAGTATCGTCCACAGATATCAAAGCAAATATTTGTAATAACTAAAACATTTACATGTTATTGAGAAAACGATATAAAAGTAACGGATTAAAAATAAGTAAATTAATAAATAAATAATATGATGAACTTTTAATATTAATAAAGTTAGAGTATAGATTTTCCCCTAATTATGCTTGATAACACTCTTAATACCTGTTTGTGCTATGAATTGAGGATTCTTTTAAAGTTAATATCCTTATTCAGGCATAATATTCAACTTAGTACAGATCCCTATTCGGTTACTCTAAAATTAAGAAGCAAAAATTCATCAATCTCTTACGACTAATTCGCTATTGGTTTAGAATTAGATGGACCACAAATATCAAAATCTTATTTGATTACTTCTAGTTTTTATGTTGTGCAATGTTATTCCCATAGAACAATTATGAATATGAATTAAGCAATAAACTCTAACTTCTATTCGAAACATCATTAGGTAATTGAATCAACAACATTCATAGCATTAAATCTAAACTCTTGCACAATTCATAAACATAAATTGGTATTAAGAATAAAAAATTATTCAAAACATAATTAGGGTTTATCCTCCTCTAACAAAAGAGATTTACTCCATCCTAAGACAAAGAAATAAATAGAGAAGAAGGAAAACATATTCAGATTTGAAAGAATAAAAAATCAAACTCTTAAATCATCTTCAGTCTTCAAGCCTTAAGAATGCATCTTCTCCTCTCAAAAATATGCAAAATTCGTCCCTTGACAATTGATCTCAATTATTCTTAATACCCAAAAGAGTCCTAAGTGAAAAAGGAAAGAAAAACTGATAAAAACGCGCTAATAGTTTCTGCCCACACCCTGGCCGTGGCCAAATTTAGTCACCAAGCTAGGCGTGGTGCTTACTGGTCTCTTTGTTTCTCTTTGTTCCATCACCATGGCCATGGTGAATATCAAGGCATGGTCGTGGGTCTTCAAGAATGAAGGGCACATCTCAACTCTCAAGCTTTAAGTCCTAATTTCATTCAATACTCCAATCTATTCAATCAAAGCCTAAAAGAACATAAATTATCCAAATCAATAGGTAACCATTCATATCTCAAACTTAACAAAAACAAACATAAAAAACAAAGGAAAACAATGAGAAGTTAACTAAACAACATCATAACAACCCTAAAAACACATCAAATTATGCAACTTATCAACTCTCCAAACTAATCCTTTGCTCGTCCTCGAGTAAAGAAAATATCAGAAAAATAAACTCAACAATCATCAAGGATTCGCAGCATTCCCAAAATCAACGAAAAGAAATCAAACATGCTTTAAATAATATCATGCTGCCAAACATACAACCCAGCTAATTATGAACTCCAATCTTTCCTCAAACTGATACGCACCAAGACTTTATATAACCCCCTACTTATTATTTTTTTTTTGTTTTTTTTGTTTTGTTTTTTCAATTGCTCTCAAATTGTCACATCACCTTTTAGAGAATGCACACATTGTGATGAGTGCCCCTGGTTACTCATCAATGTCACAAACACTAAAGTGTTTTGCATACTCATACTTCAAGCCACGGTTTGACGCAAAAGTAAACATGGGGCTCATGAATACTCCTAGTTACTAAGCAACTCAAAACAGCGGAGTAGTTCATTCAAAAATAAACAAAAAGATAGTTAATATTTCAAGACTGTATATACAGTTTTTTTTTTTTTTTTTTTTTTTTTTTTTTTTTTTGTGTAGGGAGTGAAGACAAGACTAGCTAGTACATAATAGAGTTAAGTAATAAACCAGAATTTGCATAACCATCTAGATTGCATACTCTTCGCATTCCTAAAGATATGAGCATGTTTGAATCTATCAATGACTTGATACTACCATTACTCCAAATGATTACAAAGTTCATCACAAAAAGCATTTTTTTTCTTTGGGATATCACAAAGTTTCGTTCGGGATGTATCAAAAGCACAAGCATAATAACCACCATGCAACCAATACAAAATACAAACCAAAAACACACAAATAAAATAAACACTTCCTAAAAACAAACCACCAAACAAAAGAAACAAACTATCAACAATGCAACACAAATCAAACGCCCATCCCCCAAATAAAGAAGGCAGTGTCCTCAATGCATAAAAAACAAAAAACCAAAATGAAAAATATGGAAAATAAAAGATAGAAACTTCCCTGAAAAAAAAATAGATTTTTTTTTTTTTTTGCCCATGGCCACGGCTGTGTAAAATGACACAGGGTACCCATGGTACAGGCTATAATCTGCAAGCTTTTTATTTTAACATGCCACAGCTGTGTAAATAACACAGGGTCGCCATGTTTTATTCTGCCTAAAATTGTCTTTTCTTCTACACTAAGCTTCCCAAACTTGTTCCTTGTTCCACGATAACAAAACAAAATAAAAAAAAAATCAAACAAAAATAAAATAATTGTAGAAGAAGAAAAGAAAAGAAATTGATAGTTCTAATTTAGAGTCGTTAGCTTGACTTTCTCCACTTTCTTCATTCAAGAAACTGGACGGACGCGGTGTTTGGATCGAAACATCCTCCAACATAGTGCTTCAAACGGTGTCCATTAACTTTAAACGTTTCACTTGTCTTTCCATGGTGGATCTCAATTACTCCAAAAGGTGTACTTGAATTACCTCATATGGACCCGTCCATCTTGATTTTAGCTGTCCTGGGAAAAGACGAAGACACTATTGTAAAGAAGAACTTGGTCCTGGCTGGAACTCCTTTTTCACAATGTGACTAGCATCTCTTTGTCTTCTCCTTGTACAAACTAGCACTCTCGTAGCCCAATGACAAAATTCATCTAGCTCACTCACCTGCAAAAGACGTTTAGCACCTGCACTGTGCACATCAAAATTCAACAATTTAGTAGCTAATAAGCTTTTGTGCTATATCCACCGGCAGGTGACATGCTTTTCCAAATACTAACCTATAAGGTGACATACTATAGGTGTTTAAGAAGGCTCCTATATGCCCATAAAGCATCGTCTAACTTTATCGCCCAATCTTTTTAAAGGCACATGGTCTTTTCTAAATTCGTTAGCTCTCTATTGAGACCTCTACTTGACCACTGTTTGGGCATGGTAGGAGTGGCTACCTTGTGTGTGACTCCATATTTCTTAATAGTGCATTAAATTGGTGATTACAAAAATGCTTCCCACCATCACTAATGATTGCCTAGGAGTTCCATATCTAGTGAAATATTCCGCCTAAGGAATTTGAGTCTGTTCTAGAATCATTAGTTTTGGTGACAATTTCCTCCACCCATAGAAACATAATCTACTGCCACAAGTATAAAAGCGTTTCATAACGATGATAGAAACGGTCCCATGAAACAATACCCAAATATCAAAAATTTCACATAAAATATATATTTAAAGGCATCTCATCTTTCTTAGATATATTACCTGTTCTTTGGCAACGATCACAAGAGGACATACCTTTGAGCATCTCGAAACAGTGGGCCAATAAAAACCTGATTGCAACACCTTTGCCGTTGTGCGATTGCCGAAATGCCTCGGTTCTCTATCATGGCAATGACTCAAAATAGCTCCAATCTCTTCTTCCGGCCCACATTTTTGAACAACTGATCTGCATATAGTTTGTACAAGTAAGGGTCTTCCCACAAATAATATTTGACATCAGCCAAAAATTCTTCCTTTGCTGGAATGTAAAATGCTTTGGAATCCAGCCTCCTGCAAGAAAATTAGCCAAATCAGCAAACCATGGAGATTTAGAAAAAGAGAGTTAAGAGATAGAATTCGCTCATCAGGAAATTCTGCACTAATATCTCCCTTTCAAGGATTGAATTATCTAGTCGGGATAAATGATCAGCAATTGATTGTTTGTCCCCTTTCGATCTTTAATCTCCAAATCAAACTCTTGAAGTAGAAGGACCCATCTGATAAGGCATGGTTGGCATCCTTCTTAGCAAGGAGATGTCGTAGAGCTGCGTGATCGTGTAGACTATGGATTCTGTGCCTATGAGGTAGGATCTAAACTTCGAATGCGAAGACCACTACTAGTAATTCTTTTCGTGTTGTTGTGTAGTTCAGTTGCGGACCATTTAAGGGTATGACTGGCATAGGATATGACCTAAAAAATTTTGTCTTTCCTTTGACCGAGAGCAGCATCGATGGCATAGTCACTCGCGTCACACATGATTTCAAAGGCATTGTTCCAATCTAGTGCGACACACTAGGTGCTGTCACTAGCTTCTCCTTCCGGAAATTAAAGGCCTGCAAACATTCAGAATCAAAGTTAATTTTATATCCTTGGCAAGAAGATTAGAAAGGGGTTTTGCAATTTTTGAGAAATCTTTAATAAATCTTATAAAATCCTGCATGGCCAAGGAAACTTCGACTACTCGAACGTCGTCGTCGGAGGTAATTTTCAATCACTTCCATTTTGGTTTTCAACCTCAATCCGCTCAGAGATCTTGTGTCCAAGCACGATACCTTCTCGTACCATAAAATGGCACTTCTCCCAATTCAGTACAAGATTGATTCCTACAACGCTGTAAAACTGCATCGAGTAATTTAACTTCCTTTCGTACCACTTCTTGCATGGCAGGATTTAATCTCCTTTGCGGTTGTATTGTTGGCTTGAAATTCTCTTCCATGAGGGATTATGATGCAGATGGAGGGCTATTCCCTTGATATCAGCAATTGTCCATCCATCGCCTTCTTGTGCTTCCTCAAAATGTCTAGCAGTGACTTCTCCTCCAAATTTGTCAAAGATGCATAAATGTACACATGATAAGCATCTTTATCTAGAAGAGCATATTTTAAATGTGAAAGAAGAGGTTTAAGCTCAAGTTTAGGAGCCTCATTAGGAGTTTTATGCAAATCCTCCTTTAGCTCCATATATTATCAGTCAGAGATTCTTTCTCAACGCTTCAGCTTCTTTCAAGCACATGTCTTCATCTCTA